CTCTCTCGGACGCACAGATCATCACTTTATCTCTACACTTCTTTATCTAGAAGTTCCATCAAGCTGAAAGAGGAAAGGTGTCTGTGCAATCAGCTTACAAAGTCTGGCAGCCGCCCCACCTGGGGAGTTTGTGTATGAAGTCTGTTGTCCGCTCCACCCCTCCCCGAGCTCCCATGCCTCACCACATTTATCCATTACAGCCGGCAAAAATCTAATTAGCCCGTGCTTCTCTCCCAAGTCGGACTTCACAGTTTTGCAAGCTTAGCAGTGACAGCTGATTTCATTAGGTTTGATTGTCCTTGCCGAGATCCCACTCGTCGGGCTAAAAGCTTTTTGCGCTTTCTCAGGTTCCACCCCTGTGTTGGGCCATTACGATGACCCGTGCCTTTTCTGATTAATCAAGACAAGTGGCGCTAACAGAAAACTGCTGATCACAAAAGAAGGTGACATCATTTTACAAGCCGATTAAGAGAAGCGTGGAGTGGTGGGAGAGAGAGAGAGGCGAGGTGAAAATGTAATTAAGATCCGAGATTAAGAGCAAACTGAACTCAAAACATTGCAGTCACACTAGGGCTGGACGATATGGCCAAAATTTATATCACGATATATTTCTTAATTTCGGTCGATACGATATAATTCCGATATCGATATGAACACTATTTATCTGAAATAAAAATCTTTTGTAACATTATAAATGCCTTTATCATCACTTTTGATCAATTTTGAGCATCCTTGCTAAATAAAATTTTAATTTCTATAATTTCTTTCCCAAAAAATGTATAAGAATTATACTGAATGGAATAGTGTATAATGTTACAAAAGCTTTTTGCCTGGCAGATTGTTCACAAGATGTGGGCAAAAGTTTGTATTGTATACAGGAAGGATGCGCGTTCTTATCATTCTTCTGTTGCGCTGCTTGTCTATTTCTCTTCAAAGCACCAACTTAAAATGCCTATTTTGGTTTGATTGCTTGTGTCACATGAGAAAATAAATAATTTTGCCTTACTGATGCAGTAGCATATTTCATGCGGGTGCGGTTCAGGTCGCAGTCTTTGTCAAACGGGTCGGGTACAGAATTGTCACATGAGAAAATAAATAATTTTGCCTTACTGATGCAGTAGCCTATTTCATGCGGGTGCGGTTCAGGTCGCAGTCTTTATCAAACGGGTCGGGTACAGAATTAAATTGGTGCTGGCTGCTGTCGGATAACGGGTCGGGTGTTCTGTTGTGTACTGCGGATGCAGGTTTACCTAACAGGACCCGTGCAGGACTCTGCTTTAAACTGCTTTGCGTCTCTCCGTCAGATAACCTCACGTGCTTGATGCGCCATTTACGGGTATTTCCCGGCATTTCCCTAAACCGACACACATCAATTTATTTTTATTTATTTATTTTATTATTTTTTTTCAGTTTACGAAAATGTTTTTTGAAATATCGGAAATGTGTTTAAAAATCATATCACCGTTATTGAAAAAAATTATATCGCGATACATATTGATATTGAATTATTGTCCAGCCCTAAGTCACACTCATTCCGGAGAATTCCGCACACGTTCCAACAATCAATGCTGAAAATGTACAGATACCGTATGGAATTCCGTATACTTCAGCACACCATTCAAATCTATAAGTTTTCAACCTATTAATTGGTATCATGCTGTGATATAACGAGGATGAATAATCAAGGATGAGGAAGTGGTGTTTGCGTTTCGGGAATAAATGAGTCCGGGGTTATATGGAGGGGAGCCGTGTGTTGTGGAGAAGGTCCCAGAGGAGGACCACCCTCACATCCCCATCCATCTATTTACAGTATCCTACATGTGGGGCAAAAGAGCCGAAGATTCATAGGGTTGACCTCATCGCTGGCAACAGTTATTTACTGAAATACCAATGTAAGACGGAGAGTGTGATGTATAAATGGTTGCCTTTGAATATAACTTGGATGCTTTCTGTTAGGGCTACGAATTGATCAAACTGATGAATAAAATGTGAATACGAAAATGAAAATTGCCAATAGCAAATATTATTTTATTGATAGTCTCCTTGTATACAATATTTAATATACATTAATGTGCATTTATTTATTCATTCATTTACATGAAATTCTGTGATTTTACTTTGTTGAATTTTACAGTACATTGGAGAGAATTCAATTTTGTATTTTATCGTTAATTGAATGAATAATGAAAAAAATACATGAAATAATTGTTGCAAATTTAATTTTAAAATTGCCCTGTGTGTGACCAGATTTATGTTATGTCAAAATATTTTTACTATTAATATAAGGCTATAAAATATAAAAGAATGAGCAAAATGTTGCTAATTTAATTTTAAACTTGCCCTGTGTGTGACAAGATTTTTTAAAAGATATTTACAATTAATATGAGGTTATAAAATCCAAAAGAATTTTTTAAAATTTGTTTAGCTAGAGTATGTGACATGGTCAAAACACTGATATTCACAAAAAAGAAATGAATCTTGATGCATTGAATACTGGTATTTTGGCCCACCTCCTGCTTAACAAAACAGATAGTGTCCTGCTCTGTCAGGTCTCTGTATTAAGTGTATGAACTATTTGCTCCGGTGTCTCCTGGGTGCAGCTTCATCATGGCAGATATAGTCTGCTGTCAGCCATAGGACTCAATTAATTGCACTTCAGGATATTACTCATAACTCATATTTCAGAGCAAGTGAAATACCCGCCCTCTATTTATCTCTTCTAACATCCCTTCCTCCTTTCAGCACCAGTAGGCCTCAGTGTGGCATTTATACATTTCAAATGGTTCATGTATAGTATGAATGTCACATGTAATGTTTAATATGGCACATTTAATCATGTTCTGTGTATGTTTACAAACAAAAAAGGGTTGAATGAGAAAGCATTTCAGTTCACAGACAGTTTATCAGAAAATGAGGCACTTTCCACAAAGAGAGGCCTGAAATTCTTGAGTCAAACATTTCTGAAGGTTAAGCAGTTTTTTTTTTTCATGGATCATTTGCTGAAAAGCTCTGGAAGTTAAAATATTAGCCGTTTTAGGTTGCAACCATTTTGGCAAAATTTTGAATTTTTCTAATTAGGGTAAGATCATGCACTAACCAAATGTGAGATTTTGGGCAATTAAATGTAGCAATTAATTATTATAATTTTGTAACGAATCAATCCACTGAAGGCGAGCGTAAGTGAGAACCCAAGTGCAGTTTATTTACAGGTGATCCAAACAATAATCCAAGACTTGACTTGACATGAACAGACTTGACTAGAACAGACTAGACTCACCGACAGCGAGGTACAACATCAATACACGACGAAGACTATGGGAACATGATGGCTACTTATATCAGACAATGAGGGTCACATGACAAGAACAAACCAATGGGAAACAAGACACATGACTAAGACAACCAATCAGAACATGACACAATGAACAGAGGAACCAATGGCATGAATACAAGAGGGTAAGGGGAGCATGACACAAACAGGGACCATGACTAAACTCCAAAATAAAAGACATGGAAAACATGAACACGAAACCCAAACACCAAACCCCACATAACATATTTCATCATTTTTTTTACATATTAATACAATAAAATAATTCAAATGTAATTTTACACCATTAAATGTATACCAATTCAAGAAATTATATCAAAATACAGTCAAGAATGGCCAATTAGTGAAAAGCATCACCAGTCAACATGACTTTTTTACATTACCCCTGGGCGTCTAGAATGTAATTTTTCCATGTCCGCTTTCAAAGCAAACAGATTTGGGGTGACCTATATAGACTTGTGCCGGTATTTGGTAATGCGATATATCACGGTAATGAATATGCACGATATTGTTATCGTGGTTGCAACTGTGTTATTTAATGAGCTAACATGAACTAAGACTTGTATTTTTTAACAAAGATTAATAACTTCTGTAGCAAATGTAGCTATTGCTCATTGTGAATGTTAATGCATTAACTAAGGTTAACTAATGAGGTCTTATTGTAAAGTGATACCTATTGGTCTTTATAGTTCTTTTGCACTTTAATCTGTGTAAAACTTTTAACTTTATACATTTTTCTGTATTGCTTTATTGCATTTAAATGTTCAGTTATTTTTGTTATAAGAAAAAAGTTATTAAACCTGTTATACTGTATTATGACAGCACTTTTTTTTTTAAACTAAATTTCAGTATCGTGATAATACCGTATACCGTGATAAAAGCATTAGCAACTAATCGCAACATGAAAATTTGATACCGGCATATCCCTAGCTATAGATTATGCGCAGGGAAATAAACACACTCAGTTTAATGTCCAGCTCTCCCTCACTTACGCTCTCTCCGTAGCATGTACCTTGAGTGCTGTTTTATTTACATCCTGCATACATATTAGCTCATCTGTTGGTGCTTGCAGAAACGAGCATGTTGAACATGTAAAAGCACTCGAGTCCTAATGAACTGCTTCCTGTGTGACGGTGCGCTGCGAGCTCTCTGATTAACATGCATCTGCAGCACTCCTGCCCCTCAACCACCAGCTGTTTCTCTCTGATCTAGTGCTTTACGGCCACCGCAAACATGATTCATTCTCTAAACTTGCTAAGTTTTGATGTTGGAAGACATTAATGTCTTTTTGGTTTTGTTCCTTTTTTAATTATGATTCTTGAATTACGAAGTCTTGTGATTCTCTTGGGGGTGGTGGAATATTCATTTGAACACTGTTGTGTTCAAAATCATATTATGCCTCGTTGTCATATTATATAATTGATAGTTGAAGCTCTAAAATCTGATGAATATTTTATATACATAAATTATTGTATATGTTTAAATTAATACAAATGAACATATACATTTACATGTAATCTGGATTACACAATCAGATTTTAAAAATGCAGTACTTGATTATATTACGTTTTTAAAATGCTCAGATTACAGTTCATTTTTTATGGATTACACGATTAAAGTTCTATATAAAATTCACTGGCTCTCATGCATTTTATCTTCTTCATTACAGAAAACAGACCCTACTCCAAACCTCCCATCATGTACTGAAGCCTCTGGCATCTTTAGTCCCACGACGGACAGCTCAGCTCAGCTCAGTCCACAGATGGAGAGGGGTTTGTGGGGCTATTTCCCGGAGGAAAAGTGGTGCGGGTGCTGAAGACCGGGCATCTGAACCCGTGTACAGGACTTGAGTGTGTGTGTATGTATGTGTATGTGTGTGGAGGTGCAGTGTGTTTGCGGTCCTCATGAGACACGTGTGTGTGTCTGGAGCACTGCTCGTTGGAGACCTTTCAACATCACATGCACCGACTTGTAAAAAAATGTCTTTCTCTCTTGTTTTGACTACTTCTACATCCCACACTTTTTTGAGATTAAAAGAAATGTTTGTTTTCCTGGATTAAAATCTCATTACCTGATGAATTACCCTTCGTTATGTGAAGCACACAGCATCACCCTAATCTAAACCTATCTTCAGTTTGTTGTTATTATTATTATTGTGTGTTATCTGCTGATCCCCCATGATTCTGTGCACCAGTGATTCTGAACAGCACAACAGTCTTGACGAGTCTGTAGAGAACTTTGTCTACAGCACCTCTACATGAAGGGACAAAAGAGACAAATATTATGTGGACAGACTCCAAATAAGACACGTGCTTCTTTAATAAACATTGTCTACATTTGTTGTTTTGCCTTTTAAGAAAGGGATTCTATATCAACATTTCCTTTTTTCTAATTTGTTGTATTTTTTTTTAGAAAGTGTAGAAATATTTTCCTCATGTTGTCGTTTCCCTGCCCTATGTTTATTATTCTGGTGTTTATTTTATTATCTGGTTTGTTGTTTTCCATTGTATTTTAATCAGCATTTCAAACAGATGCTCAAGTGATCTTGAAACAAACGTTCTTTGTACGTCTTTGCTGTCTTAGTTTGCCCCGTGACAATGTTTTCTCTATTGCTGCTTAACTTAAAAAGTAAAAAAAAAAAGAAGTGTTCATTTGATGTTGCTATAAACACAGTATTACAGTACTCCCCCTTCTGTTTTTACCTGTTTATAAAGACTTGTAAAAATGCTTTAGCGTTTGCTATCCTGACGTTGTTATTACGTGGATACATTTTTAGTGACGAAAAAGAGACGAGAAGTACCCTTATGCACACCCAGAGCGAGCATGCTTGTAAATACAACGATGAAAAATGACACGTATCGATTGAAAATAAAACGCTGCCTCTTCAAATCTATTTTTAAACATTTCTAGCGACTCCATAGGTAATGCAATCACAAATCGGCAGCTATCAATGATGTTGAATCTTGTTTTAAAATGGCAACAGACACTTATCACAGCCTTGCACATGCCACAACGAATAAAACACCCCTATGGACATCTTGGTAGGTTTTGTTTTTTTTTCCCTTTGAGTAATAAAATTAAGATGGAAACATTTGCTTGTTTTGCTTCAGTTATTTTCAGAGACGTTTTCCCCAAGTGAACTGGTATTTGGCCATTTTGAAATTAATGTATAATAACCACTTGTGTTCCAAAATGTGTTATTACGTGGATACATTTTTAGTGACGAAAAAGAGACGAGAAGTACCCTTATGCACACCCAGAGCGAGCATGCTTGTAAATACAACGATGAAAAATGACACGTATCGATTGAAAATAAAACGCTGCCTCTTCAAATCTATTTTTAAACATTTCTAGCGACTCCATAGGTAATGCAATCACAAATCGGCAGCTATCAATGATGTTGAATCTTGTTTTAAAATGGCAACAGACACTTATCACAGCCTTGCACATGCCACAACGAATAAAACACCCCTATGGACATCTTGGTAGGTTTTGTTTTTTTTTCCCTTTGAGTAATAAAATTAAGATGGAAACATTTGCTTGTTTTGCTTCAGTTATTTTCAGAGACGTTTTCCCCAAGTGAACTGGTATTTGGCCATTTTGAAATTAATGTATAATAACCACTTGTGTGTCAATTATAGCACAAAGTTTATTATTATTATTATTATTGCTGTTGCTATAAACGCACATTACTGTTTACATTTTTGTAACTTTTTTCTGTTTATTTGATCAAAATACAGTTAAATCAGTAAGATATGTGAAATATTATTACAATTTAAAATAAGGGTTTTCAATTTGAATATATTTTAAAATCAATTTTTTCCTGTGATTAAAAGCTGAATTTACAGCATAATTATGCCAGTCTTGATCTTCAGAAATAATTCTAATACGCTGATTTGCTGCTCAAGAAACACTTATTATTATTATTATTATTATCAATGTTGAAAAACGTGCTGCTTAATATTTTTGTGGAAACGATTTTTTTTTCAGGATTCTTTGACGAATAGAATGTTCAAAATCTTTGGGCCACTGTAAAAGTGTTTAATGTCACTTTTGATCCATTTAATTCATTGTTGCTGAATGAAAGTATTAATTACTTTCCAAAAAAGCATTTATTGATTTAAAAAAAAATAATACACACATTTAAGCAACTGTTAGTAGTAATTTGCACTAATGCAAATTAGTGCAATGTATCTCATGTACTTAAATATTCAAGAAATCCTGAACCCTGTATCAGTTGACAAGTAGTTTGAATGGTATGAACTCTGGTTCTTTATGGCTTTCTTAATATCTTCATGTCATGGTTGTTGTAGTACTTCTTTGAAGTGGAGCGTTTTCATAAAAATACACATGGGCCTCGCATCACAGCCTGAAACTCCCATCATCCCAGCAATCCATAAAAACCCACGGCTCTGAAGCTCCACCATTCCGGAGGTGTTCAACACGAAGCAAACGCGAGCGAGCACCTCACCTGCAGCTGCCAAAGGAACTGACCTAATTAGTCACGTACCGTCAAGCCGTCGAGCAGCAGACTACATTTCCCACCGCGACCGCTGCACTTCACCTGTTGTCCGTAGCTGTGTAGACTTCTGGGAGTTGTGGGAAGAGTAGCAGGCCTGACAGAGCCCTGAGAGCCGCTGCCTGAATTGGCCCTACAAACAAAAGAAAGAGGGTCCGTTTTTGCACTTCAATTAAAGACGAGTCGTTTGATCTACTCTTGATTAGCCCCTCTCCTCCCTAACTGGCTTTATGTAAAGTAGTCAAAGTACTTCATTTATGATTAGTGATGTTTTTAGGGGTGGGATCGAGGTGAGTGTTTGAAACACAATCGCTGCGGTGGCCTATTTGATCAGTGGAAATAAGATAAAAACAGAATCTCATCTGCATACGTTCCATTAAAAACATTGAATCTGATTAAGGCTAACAAGAAGGTAGGGATTAAAGGAGCGGACGAATATGGAGAGTCATACAAGCTTGACATCAGAGCCAGGTGTGCGTCTCTTCTCTCTATAGCCTATAATCCATAAGAGCAGATCCACGTCGATTAAAAACGTTCATGGAGATGAAATATGACCGTGGCCGGAATCGATAACTCTCGACCTCTTCGGAACGGAGCTGTTTGGACAGATTATGCCACCGTGACCATGAACGATTGACTGTCATGAAAACATTGCAACTTTGCAGGATGTCTCCCTCTTAGAGAGAAGTGCTGAGATACATTTCAATTAAGCATACACTATATGAACTGCATTTGAGTATTTTAACATCAATATTTTATGTTAAAATGAATAGGTCAAAGTGTATGTCATAGGTGCTTTTCATCATAATTATCAGTTTTTCATCATCAAAAATCCTTTAGTTTTGGCAGCTCACTTTAATAGTGATGAATTTCTAAATTATTAGAAATATTAGTCTCAGTAAATTTAAGGTAATGACAAAAGCTATTTATAATAATTACACAATTTAAAATATGTTGTTTAATTTTTTTAGCTTATTATATGTGATCAGGTATTAAACAACTGTAACATCCATGTCCTGTTTGTTGAAATGGCTTTAATATCTGTTAAATTTGTAGATTTCTTCAATATACAATATATCAATATACAAACTTTATTATATAATTACAGTAAAACTAAAAATATCAACATATTAAACTACATTTTATATTATATTATTATTATAACATATTATATATGATAAAAAAAACAATGCTTTTAACAGTCTGTATCTCTGTATTTGAAAACAGCCAAGCAAATTCTGTGAAATTTTATGTTTTAATGGTCTTCCTGTTTGTTGCTTTTCTTTTTGTTCCAAAATAGTGATTTCTTTTTACAAGAAAGCCAACACTTGGCATCCCACATCTTGAGTGTACATACACAATGTTACAAGCAAAACCTATGCGCACACACACACACACACACACACACACACACACACCCACACACACACACTCCTTACCAGCACTACAAGGCTAAATAAAACCCAAACGCAGGTTGTTGTTGGCTGTTAAAGTTGGAGTATGTTATTGTAAAACGAATGAATAGATGAGTAAAGGCAGTTGAAAGGGAGTTAAAGAGCTCACTAAAGTGGCTGTCTAGTGGGGAATCATGGGATATTACCTCCAGGCTGCATTAAAGACAATTCAAACAGCAGTCAATTTCATTGTTAAAAGATAATAGTGAATAATAGGTGTCTGGATGTTTGAAGACAAAGCAGTGTCTAGGAATGTTCTACTCTATTTTCCCCTCCTCTCTCGCTGAACAACTGAAGTAATAAGTAGAAACAACTGCAACAAATTGCTGCGTTCGCGACTGTTAGTGGAAATGCACCGCAGAGATTTTCCTCTATGGCAAATGATGGGGGTTGATGCTGTTTACAGAAATGCTAATTAAGAATAATGAATTTCTGCAGAGACTGTAGTTTTGCAAAGGTAATACTGTATGCTAAAGACTGCCTACTTATGTCTCTACTGTACTTTTCGGAGATCATAAGGTTCGTGGCAGATTAAAAAGCCCATGAAATCACTTGACAAGTGCAATTTTATTTCCTGTGCTTACACAATTCCTATTGAATGAAGTTTAGCTGGGACACTTTTTAAATATAGACTCTGACTACATCACAGCCACAAACCATAATTTGCTAGTAGGGTGCTAATGTACTAATTTAAGTAGTCAGTAAGATGCCTTTGAATTATTTATTTATTTTAAATGCACTGATGGGAACATGTTCACATGATTTTACGCTACACGTTCTTTCCCTTAAAAAAAAAAAACCTGTACATTACCCTTATGACCAACTCTGCACACTATATTGTTAAAATTAGTCATAAAATTATAACTAAAACTATGAAAATAATGTTAAAAGCAGTAGTGGTTTGTGACAGGCTTAAGGGAATGAGAATGCATTGTTTTCACAGATAACTTTTTGAGCAGCTTTCATCCCACTATTTAAAACTGTGCTATTCATTTATAACATTCCAAATGAATTGGTTATTTATTGTCATTTATTATATGTGGGGTGGTTGGGTCTGTCTGATTTGACTTCAGACATCAATTGAAGAGCCAACATTTTGGAGTATCACCATGTGAGTCGATTCAAGCAGTCTACAGAAAATCTGAATGGATTAAAAATATGTACAGGATGAGTCTGTTTTTGTTTCAATTCTGGAAGGGACTGTACATTTTCCATGATATAACAGAAGTAATGGCAGATTTTTTTTTTTTTTCCATATAATAACTAGATTGGAGAAGGCCGGCATACGTTACCAGATAAGGTTGTAAGATTTTGATTGAATATTTTGAAAAGAAAAAAAAGCAACATTTACTGGAATTGAAGGATGTGATTTTATTGGTAGCTGTTGTAGTAGTAGTGATAAAAACAAAAGTGTATAGAGCACAGATATGCATCACCTAATTTTAGGCATTAGTCATATGACCTGTGCAAGTGGGTCGAGGGACATGAAAACACCCATAAATAAGAAATGATCTGCATCGCGCCAAATGTCAACCATTTGTGCTCACAGATGTGATTGTTTACTTATTTATCAGTTTCCTTTATCTTACCAGGTAAGACTTTGAAAGTTGCTGTCAGCCGTGTGTGTGTATTAAAGGGTTGACTGGAGCAGTGGCATCATGGCCATATGGAAATTTTGGGGAAGGTGAGAATAGCAGAGCACAGTGAAGCTGCCTACCCCCAAGACAGATCCACACATGCTCATTCACTCATAGCTGAGGTGAGCAGGCTTATTTTTACTGGGTCGGGAATCGCGTGGGGAGGCTCACGTAATGAAGCATGGAGCCAGAACTGGGCTACGCCACAGCAGGAAAATGTCAAGTCGCATCTCGCTGCACTGAAAATCATAAATCACCACCTGTACTATTTGCTTGAACCTGCACACACACATTAACGTTAAAAAAAATTGAAGGTCACA